TTAAAAATAATGGTGATGTATTGTGCATCATTTCAAATTATTTTCCAAGAAACTGGAACCTTTTTGTCTGTTTTGATGGATTTGGAAGACTATAGATCAAACACAAACGAGACTGCTATCTCCTATATGATCATCTATGACAGCTGCAGATCATTATTTTATATTTTGTACATTTGGAATCTCAATCTTGATCTAAAACTAGTTTATTAAAGAGATGAGTCTATGTTCTTCTGCGTTCAGTCCCACCGGGGCTTTGTGCACCATTCTCCCGCAGATCACTTTGCAATTTATCAATCAATCAATCAATCAAATTTTATTTATAAAGCGCTTTTCATACATAAGATGCAACACAAAGTGCTTTACAGATTGGTTAAAAACAATCCCGCCGGCCCAAGACCCCTCCCCCAGACCACCCAACAGACCCCCCCCAAACCACAGACAAACACACACACACGCGCTCATGAACACTCACACACACACACACACACACACACACACACACACACACACACACACACACACACACACACCAGTAAAACAATAAAAACATGATGAGAGACTTGGCAGGGTTCAGATGCAACCAGCTGAAAAAGCGTCATCCAAGGAGCCGTCTGCACCAGGAGCAGAGAGCCGCCCGTAGCCACAGGGGACGACACAGGACCCAGAGGAGACATGAAACCGAGGCCCCAGGCCCCCACCAGGCCCAAGAGTCCGACCCCCGCAGCCACACCGACCACTGCTCCCGGTGCAGAGGGCTCCTCCAGAGGAAACACTGGGTACACTAAAAACAATACAATAAGTAAAACACTAAAATGTGAGACTAAAAGGAACACACAATACATGAATAATAGCAATAGCAATATAATAAATAATAAAAGATAAATAGAATGGAATAATAAAAACTAATCAAAAGCTACTCTAAAAAGGTGCGTCTTGAGCCTACTTTTAAAAATATGAACGTTCTCTGCGGCCCTGAGCTCCTCCGGCAGACTGTTCCAGAGACGGGGGCCGTAGTGCTGGAAAGATGCCTCGCCGTGAGTGTGTGTCCTGACTTTTGGAATGGTTAGGAGTCTGCTGCCGGAGGAGTGCCGGGAAGGTTCATAGGATAAAAGCAAATCTGAAAGATAAGAAGGCCCAAGACCATTAAGACATTTAAAAACCATTAAAAGAACCTTAAAATCGATTCTGAAACACACGGGGAGCCAATGCAGCGATTTTAAAACCGGTGTAATGTGGTCCCGCCCCCTGGTCTTAGTCAGGACACGTGCGGCCGAGTTTTGGAGTAATTGAAGACTTGCAATGTTCTTTTTGGGAAGACCAGAGAGCAGGGCATTACAATAGTCAATGCGACTGGTGATAAAAGCATGCATCAGCGTCTCCGTGTTGCCCCGAGAGAGAATGGGGCGGACTCTGGCGATGTTCTTTAGATGATAAAAACCTATTTTTGTGATACTCTTGATGTGAGGAATAAAAGTCAGCTCAGAGTCAAAGATTACGCCCAGATTTTTCACTTGTGATGATGGATTAAAAGAGTGTGATTGGAGTTTTGATAAAAGTTTCTCTCTCTGGGCCTCAGGACCGATGACTAAAACCTCAGTTTTGTCCTGGTTAAGCTGGAGAAAGTTTTCTGCCATCCAGGATTTCAGGTCTAAAATGCAGTTAAAAAGAGCATCCATTGGCCTGGTGTCATCAGGAGACATGGAGATGTACAGCTGAGTATCATCTGCATAACTGTGGAAGTTAATTCCATGTCTCCTGACGACACCGCCAAGAGGGAGCATGTACAGGTTAAAAAGGACTGGACCTAAAATTTAATATTTTTTTCTTGGGCCAAAAATTAGGCTTTTTGCATATCACAGATTGGTGAAGGGAGTAGTGAGGAGTAAAGGGAGCACAATGGCTTCCAGCAAATGACAGATTTATGAGAGATAAATGACTCAAACATTCATGGCCTGAGTATGTTTACAAAGCACTAGTGAAAATCAAAATCAGCGTAAACATGTAAATTGGATTCTTATGAGACAACTGGCAGGGATGCATTTGAGAGCACAGGGAAAAACACGGCTTGTAACAGAAATGTGTGTATTTGGACGAGTATAAGTTACTCACTCAATTTGTTCGGGATCAATGCATAGGGTTGTTTGTTGTTTTGTTACGTGGAGGAAAAGCACCTTTTACTGGAGTCATGGTGTTTTTAAGAACGCTACAGAAATTCCATGATTTATGACGTAGCAGCTGAGCATGTGAGACAATTAAATGATTAAAGTAAACATAATGTTTTGTGATTACATTTTCCGACTGTGTGCTTGTAATTTATTTATACGAAGTTTGAGTAATGAGGGAAAGAGACACCTTTGAGCCCAGAGGTATTTGCTGGTGAGGATAAATTCAACAGAGCAATATTTATGAACAAGATGGGTGTAGGTGTTGGGACTGGTCTGGCTGAAACGGTTTGGACAGTGGAGGAAGCTGAGGTCAGAACTGCCAGGAAGCAGACCAAAGAGAACATATTTGTTCTTTCATGGTTCAATTTATAGTCTATTCACAGTGTTGTGTGGTATAAGCTTCCTATGCCCCTGCAGCAGCCAATCAGAGACATGGCTCTTCTATAAAAGTGTATGGTCTTACAATAGTTCCATTTGTATTAGAAAAGACAATTCATTCAGATGTCTCTTTTTTGTTTTGTCACAAAGGAATGAAGTGGGCTAGTGCAGGTTTAACTAGACCACACCTACGTAATGATTTTGATCTCTGCTTTTTGTTAAATAATTCCAAATGTACTTTAAAACAACATTAACATGTAAAATACAAAATACATTTTACATAAATGTATGAGAATGTATGCACAATATTCAGAAATGTAATTTAGACGTTTCATGTGTTTTTATAATTTCTGCATTCACTAAGCCACCCACAAACTTCTTTGATAAAGGGCCTTCAATTTCACCTCATTTTTGTTTGCACCAATTCAAGATTCCTGTAATTTTGTGTTTGATTTATTTTTCATGTTTTAGCCATATGTTTTCTTATTTAGTCTCAATCAGCCACAGCAATGTTTCAATAATTTCAAAGGAAGCATGGTGAAAAGGAAATCCTTGATGTTAATGTTGGATGAACTATGAGCAGTAAACACATGCAGCCCTGAGCAATTCTGACCAAATATGTATGCAGGTGCCCAAATGCAATATTAATATTACCTTAATGTGGCTTCGTCTTTATCGGTCGCATGCTAACGAGTGAGCTGACCAACTTTGATAGAGTTTTAGGTTATTCCAAGGCAATTTCAGGAACTAAATTTGTTGGGAGGCATCATGAGCTAGACCCCCCCCCCCCCTCTTCAGCCTCTTCAGAGAGGCTCAGTCCTGGATCTATAGCCTGTCCGTCCTTTTCTGTGTTCCATGCCGATGCATGAGGGTCAGGACAGGACAGTGAAAATCTGGGACATTTAGAGACATTGGTCATCCTTTAGCTCTAAGGACTAATGGCCCAATGTGTTTTTTTCATTGCATTCCTGTGTTGAAACTGTTTGATTTACTGATCTGTTGTTGGCAAATCAACAACTTTGTTATGTCCTCTGAGACAACTTGTTGTTATTTGGGGCTGTACAAAAGTTACCTTTTTAAATATATTATATATTATATTAACTAAGGATTTTTTGTTGTATTACTTCCAGTATTAAACAATAATTAAAGTCACTTTATAAAATCTACATTTAATTGTGTTTCACGTGTAAAAAGGGTTGGGCGATAAAACGATAATGATATACAGTATATTCCAATAGACGTGTGTTCAATATAAATTGAAAATGGGGACGATGGAATGTTCGATCATTTCCTTTAACTCCGTTAGAAATAAACTTTTTCCTTTGGAAGCACGTGCGGCAATCAAACAGGGAGCCGCACTGGTCACGGAGAGGCAAAAAGACTGATTACACTCGAAAACATGCAGGAATTAAACCAGGACTAAACCAGGACTAAACCAGGACTAAACCAGGACTAAACCAGGACTAGACCAGGACTAGACCAGGACTAGACCAGGACTAGACCAGGACTAGACCAGGGCTAGACCAGAATTACACCAGGACTGGCAATGGGGGACACTGTGCTTGTGAACATATGCCTCCAGCCTAAGCTCTCATTCTCCCATGTCCCAAGTGCTGCTAACATGTAAGCCAACACGAAAAATTTATTTATTTAGGTTTTAAAAAACAAATCAATGATTATACAATTATATTGTAATATAGTTTTCAGCCATATCGCCCAGCCCTATGCCTTAATGAGACTTCACTCAGAGTCAACCTAATTTGGCCCCCAGATAAATTAAATTTGAGACACCTGCTCATTGCATCCTTTGATCATCTTTTTTTAGACAGAAAAGTGAAAAAGAGAGGACCACCATTTCTCTCAGCCTAAAGTGACAGGAAAGTAAAGTGATATTCTGTTGTTAAAAAATCATGATTGAGCAGCCCTAAGCATGTGATATTTGGCATTTCATGTTTTCGAATGTGTATTAAACATACATGGAGCAATGTCTAATAGTGGTGGGGGAAAAAAACTATTTTGTTCAGTAAGTTAGAGCACAGTTTTGCTACATTTGATTAGTTATCTGTTTCACTTTTGTGTTTTCTATTTGCGAAAGTGTCGCTTGTTGCAGTGTCATCGCAACCAGTTCTTTGAGACGCGTTTTTGCACTACCCTCCTAAGTTTTTGCTCTTCAGTTAACGTGCCAACCATTATAAATAACAATTCAATATATATCGCAGAATTGAATCACGATACTTTCTGTATTGCAATATGTTAAGAATTGAAATAATATTGAATTGTGACCAAAATGTTTAACCTTAACATGTTTGCACACTTCTGTCTTTTGCACTGACTGATTCTATCAAATGTGACATGTACATTTCTCCATTGTGAGATGAATAAAAGTTATCTATTCTTATCTCATCAAATCATCACATTTTCCATCTAACATTGCAGGGTCTCATTGAAAGCTGTTTGTTACGGTTTACGCTTAACTCTCTGAGCCTCTTGGCAGACCATGTGGACAGAGGGGTCGGGCGGACGGTCGCGTGTGTTGAAGTGTTTGCGTACTCGGTGAAAGTTTCCCGCTGCGCTCTTGAGTTTGTTTGTGGCGGAGCTGCTTCGGCGTTTGAGGATGTTGCTGTCAGGGTTTGTGTCACGGTGCATGTAGCCACGTCCACAGCTGTGTTTGAATAAGCACACGTTCCTCCTGCGTGGGCGGCAGTGTGGTCCTCCGCAGAAAGAGAGTGTGTTTATAGGCTTTTGGTGGAGTTTTTTGTACATGTCAAAGGACTTCTGTGTGCGATGTTGAAGAGGGAAACTGGATCCCCACTCACTCAATTTGCTCCAGCTCCTCAAATAGCCATATACAGTAAGCTCAAACAAAAAGACAACTAGTTAGACATAGCCAATGGAAATTTGTTATGCTGTTGTATATATGTTGCATGTATAGTTTTAATTTTTTTTTTTATGTGGAAAATGTTAAAGTATACATAGTATGCAAAATTGTCATGGTACAACAATGTCCCATCATGGCACATTTATAAAATATTATGCATTTTGTTCTGTTTTTTACTAGAACTTTTATTAGTAATTACGTCTAAAATACGACTTCCATCAAATTCTTTCAGTAAAGCACCTGTTAGTTTTCAATGCATTGTAATTTAGAACTTCAAGTAATGTTCAAGCCAGACACCACATTATTTTTTCTGATCATATGTCGATATTTTAAAGCATACTTTTTTTTCAAAAAAGTATGCTTTAAAAACGGACTAGGATATCTTATATTTCTACTTCCAGACAGGTGATTTATGAGATTCCTGCTTATACATGATAAATATTGTGATTTTGCACCAGGCTGTGATTTAAAGCAAGCAAGAAAAGGAAAGCACTGAAGATGGACCCCGAGTGAGAGGAAGTTAGAGGGGAAATGGTCCATGGAAGTATTTTAGCCAAAGGAAAGACAAATGTTACGTTTGGAAAAGTGTGAGTGCGAGGAAACATTAGTGAGACATGCAAACTTCAGGTAATGATATTTTCGATTTTATATTATGAGATTAAATTGGACAACTTTAGATTAATAAAAGGGGTGTGATAAAGACAGCACCGTGTATTATCTGACACTTAAATCCTTAGGAGCATGTTTAGCCTAACCCAACAACAACATTGTTGCTCATCAAAAACAGACCAGAGTCCTCATAAAGCCTCCTAAGAGGGTAAGAGTCTTAAAAAAAGGGTTCTTTAGTTTGCTTTGCATGAGTTCAAGTTTAGAGCACATTTAGTATAATTAGACAGAGCAGACAAGACAAAGAGCATAGTTGGATAAAGCTCCTTCTCCCACCTTCAGCCTCAAATGGAAGACAGCAGAAGATCTGTGACTGAACACACGTTCATAAGGGACAAGAAAATCTAAAATATATGAAGACACTAGACTGGAGGGTACTATAAAGGTTATATTAAGGGTACATTTTGGTAGCCAGAGGAGAGCTTTGTCTTGCCTGCATCAGGACTAGGCTGTATTGTTGCAAATTAGTTGCAGACGCATGACTGTTTTGAGTGGAAGACCTGAGAAGGTAATTTCAATAATCTAATCCACTTGTGTCAAATGAGATGATGTGAAAAAAATCTAGAAGTTGCCAGGTTGCCATCTGTTTATCTGCAGGCTAAAACGTCAATGGAAAACCCTAATTTTTCAATCCAATCGAATAACCAGCTCCCTTGTTCCAATGTCCTGTCAACATGCTACTTTTAAAGTTGTTGAAGAATACAATTTAAAATACATAAATTAGCTTGTATCATACATTCCTTTATGAAAGCTGGAGTATCTGTTTTTGTAAATGTCTATTCTGTTGTAGAAGCTGTCTTTACAGATACCTACTTTAAAAGTCAACTAGGATAACTATTTATTTTCAAATCGCAGCCTTTACCGTAAAATATGTTGGCCACATAATGTGATAATGGATATGTATTAGAACAACTTCCACATTGAGGCTCGTTAAAACATTTGTGTCCAATAAAAACATTGCATGAAACCAAATGTTGAGTCAATATAGGAAATATACTAAACTCTGTCCACAACACTCTGACACATACGGCAAATGTGGCATGAAGAGAGCGCCATATGCAGCCGCACTCCCTGGAAACCGTCCAATAGGAGCATTCCAGTCTTTTTACGACCTGTTACACACATACAGGCGTGTCGTGTTGAAATGAGCCCAAATATTCATGTGATTTGATTTCACAGTCTGGTAAGGTAACGTCCAAACAAGTCGTGAAAATTATGTTGTAAACACTTGTCTCACTATTGTGGCATTTGTAAAAAATAAATTCAAGTTAGTGGCTGGAAGGGTATATATTAACTAGTTTACATGTAAAGATAACTTGGAGAGTGTAGAACAACCAAACTATCGGTTTTTTTTACCTTCCATCTTAAAAAGCTGATCCTAATATTGCGGTTCCCGACAATTGTTCAAAATGGCGCAATATGGCTTTTGTAATAAACTTGCAGATTTCTGGTATATACGGTGCCAATGACTTGCCGTGTGAAAAATAAATAGGGTCCCTTATTGGAGCAAACTGATTTACCACACACAGCAATGAATGTGATGCCCACAGATGCCCACTAATATTTTGAAGTAGAAGTCTCAGTTACAAAGTTACACTGCTGACATTTAGGTTGTAGTATTAATGACATTGTTCACTTTACCCAAATTATTTTTGCCTTCGCTCTGATTCCACAAATAATCAGCATTCACCTCAGATCCTTCAAATAAGACCGGAAAATTTTGTTCAAAAAGTGGAAAGGGCGGTTTTTCCATTAGATTTAGGACAAGCCTCCTATATACATTAAAGCCAGTCAAAAAGATTGGGCCATACATAATAATATACACATATTTGTTATGGAGATGCACCGATACCACTTTATCAAAAACCGATACGAGTACCATAAAAGAAGTACTTGCCGATACCATTACAAGTACTGCATTGTTATCCCTGGGAATTCATAAAACTAATACAACTGACATTTTGAATATTTTCTCATTTCAACAATAAGAAAATACTTTAATAAACATTTTAGCAATTGTTTTAACAGTCAACAATTAGAGCTGCTGTCATGTTCCACTCATACAAATGCTATGTTGTGGAATTGGCTGTTGTTGTGCTAGCTTCAGTGCTAGCAAATGTGTTATACTCTTTGTGGTGGTGAGTTTTCAGATGTTTGATCAAGTTGCTGGTGTTAAACGTGTTTGTTTTGGTCTCACCTCGTGAAAAAACTGCCATACGGCCGACATCCTCTTGCCGCTAAACTAGGTTGCCACTAAGCTAGCTCCGCTCTGATCAGCAGCTCTGATTGGTCAGAGCACGGCCACTGCGCAGAACCGGGAGGACCAGATGATCAACAAAAATGGACGAGTTCCGCTCGGCCTTTTTTTCGGCCCCCATGGTGGCACATGCGCAACTGAGCACAAGCCATTGATTTGAATAAGCTTGTTTCTCACTGCAGTCTTTTGGAGATCACCATGTCAGCACGTGCCGCACAGCTGTCTGCGGTTGTGACACTAATGTAAATTAAAGATGCGGGTTTCGGCTATGTTTATTGGGTTCTTTAGCACGAGTACTGGTATCTGCCTGATATCCGATTCCAGTATTGTGTCGACGTATCCCTAATTTGTTGTATAATAATAACACCAAGTCTGTATCAAAACCAATAATATGGGAAACTCAACTTTGCATTATCTCAAAGGGATAACACATCAGATGTTTAATCACTGTGCAGTGGTACTAACAAACAATCCTCATTCCTCCGCTCCCATAGGCCACACATATTTCAATCTTTCCCAAACAATGAGGCTGCTTCCCGAAACCCCACCCCTCTAATGACTTTGACTTTGCTTTCATTTGAACTAATGGATGTTTGTAATCACTTCTGTGGTTTCTGTTTGTCACCAGCAACATTATTAAGTACAAAAGTTAGCATTGAAGTGAAAACCTGTCATTTCAAATATATTTCTTGAAATGTAAAGATTGATTAAAAATATGCACAGGACTATTCTCTGCTTCTTGTGTGCGATTATTTTGCGTAACCTGTGCACGCAATAAATACATTAAAGCTGGGGAACCTAATTTTTCCCCTTGCACTACCAGTTCATGTTGGTTGTGCCCAAAAGTAAAATGGTGTGAGCAAATCAAACAGATTTAATGACATTCTGCATTTCAGACTGTTTTGATATGTCCCATTCTCATCCCTGTAACAAACAATAGTTTTGGTCTGTGTCCACCACAGAAAGACAGAATGTTAATTTATTGTCGTTATGATGAACAAATGCAGTACATACTGTATGTACACTCTGCTGTCATTTATTTTTCCATTCAAACAACCATTTACAGAAATATATGGTATCATTATACCGATAGTTTGAAATGTGATTAATTACAATTAATAAATTTTTAAGGTGTAATTAACTTGATTAAAAAAATAATCATTTGACAGCACTAATATAGACTCATTACATGTAATCTGAAAGATGCCCAGCCTTAGTTATAATTTGGAAGATGTCTTACAGTCCATTTTCATTATATTTTAATTTTCTGATATGTTTTATTTGGCTTTTTGCAAGCGGTGAGCCAATAAACAAAACAACCCAAACCCAAACAATTGTCTTGATAGTTTTATCGCAATATTACATTTCAAACACAATTTAGTTTATTTAGTTTTTATTTTTGAAATTTTCACTACTGGACTAAAGATAGAACTCTACTAAACAAAGCATTATTAGTCTACACACAACTGTGCCACACCTCATGTACTACTTACTGTATACTGTATGTGCCCATTGCTACATTTTCTATTTGTTTTTATAAAAATGTGTTATCCAATATGGCCGGAAAGAGCAAGAACTGGGTTAATCTTTCTCCAATGTGGTTTTACTACAAATGGCAAAGAAAACCAATAGATGGTTTTCCATCACGTGCTTATTACCTGACACGGGCGACAGTAGCTCAGTTGATAGAGCATTGGCCTTTGAGCCAGAGGGTCGTGGGTTCGAGCCCGACTTTCACCATCCACTCCCGTCTGTCTGCTGTCGTTGTGTCCTTGGCAAGACACTTAACCTCTGGGAACACCAGCCACAGTGGGGCGGCTGCGGCTGTAAAGTGCCAAACTACTGTTGTGTCCTTAGGCAAGACACTTCACCCCCATTGCCTAGAATGAGTCTGGTGTGTGTGTGAATGGTTGGTGGTGGTCGGAGGGGCCGATAGCACATACTGGTTGCCTCGCTTCTGTCAGTGTGCCCCAGGGCAGCTGTGGCTACAGTAGTAGTTTATCACCACCGTGTTTGGAGTGAAAGAATAATGACATGTAAAGTATCTTTGTGTGTCCAAAACAGCGCTATATAAAACCGATCCATTATTATTATTATTATTACCCATGATGCTTTGCGCGAACGCCATGTTGTGGGTCTGGCTTTTATTGCACGGATCATTTGTCCCCATGTCATCTAAAGCCACAAATTCGGCTGACGCTGACCACGTTAAGTATATTGATACACTGGAGTAACCTGTGAGGCAAGATCCTTGGAGAATTTAGTGCAAAAAAAATGATGTGCTACGCTTTGTTTACCTACTGTACAACTATCGGTGGCTAGACCCACAATATGGTGAACTGCGGAATTGTGGGTAGTGCGTGACGTCAATGGAAAACCATCTATATTGGCTCTATACATTGATTATTGGCCTCCTTGATTCATATTTATCAGTATGATATATCTGTAAAACGTCAACCTTAGATGGGCGGCATGGTGGCTGAGTGGATAGCACTCTCGTTTCTCAGCAAGAATGTCCTAGGTTCGAAACCCTGTCGGAGTAATAGGTCTGGCATGCGCCTACTGTACTGGCAACCCCTCTCCCATCTCTGTGTGGCGTGAGAGGACAAATGCCCACAATTGTAAACTGCTTTGTGATTCTGGTCTTACTTACTTAGATTTTGCCCTTTCTCTATTTTGTTTGTTATCCCCCATTTGTATCTAGTTTTGATATACGTTTTAGTATTGATTAATATCAGATTTGCTATACTTTTGACCTTCCTTCTTCCAAGTGAGCTGTACAAGATAAACCTCTTGATCGATCTCCATATAAAAGCACATGCACAAACTCAAGAAGCTGGAGTCCTGAGAGTTATTAGTGCATTAGATGACAGAGACAAAGTTAATCAGAATAAGTGATTTTACAATGATTATAATATGTGTTGTTTTGTTGATGCAGACAAATGAAGGACCAGTCAAAGAAAGTGGCCAACCTGAAGCAAAAGGAGCAGCTGGAGAAGAGCCGCAACGCTCAACTGATGGAGGAGGCCAAGAAGAGGGAAGACAACCTGAACGAGAGCTCTCAGCAGATCAAGGTACAGGCTAAAAACGTGTGTGTGTGTGTGTGTGTGTGTGTGTGTGCGTGTGCCCTCTCTTATTTATTCGAGTTGTAATGCTTCACAGACACTTGTTCACATGATATTACCATTAAGCATTCCCAATATCCCCGTCACAAATGTAATGCTCTTAACCAAGAGCCTCAACATACTCATGATATGTATCTTGTTGTTGGTTACACTGTTGCTGTCTCTCAAATGTTAATTTCAAACTTGATTTTTGAAGGCAATGTTATAAATTGCAAATAGAATTGAATTGTAATTGCACAAGTCTTTCTGAAATGGGAAACTTTGGAACTGGCAACCTAAACGGGAGACTCATGTGAGGCTCTATTTGCATTCTGACTGGTTGCCTCTCTGCACAAGATAGATTGTCTCTACACAATCACATAAAAGCAGATTCAATCAGTGATCCAATTAACAAGATTCAGATTCAGATTGTGCTTTGTATAAACCACGGATTTTTTAAGATTTAGTAAGTTTTAAGCTGTATCTTTCTCATTATATGCCTGGATGTATCAAAATTATCCGAGAATTGATTCTTAGAGCAAAAAAGTAAGTATAAACAATTGGGGTGATGGGTGTCAGAGGAGTTCAGGACTCCCTAGAATAAGAGGTTCTTAATCTCAATGGGACTTTCCTGGTTAAATAACGGTTACATAAAATAAATGTAATAAAAAAGAGCCAGGGGGGTGCAATGGCATCTCTGGTGACTTATATTACTCTCAAAAGTGTGTCAATGACAAAGGAAAACCACTATAGAAAGTTTGAACACTGTCCTTTAACTACCCATTCAAACGCATACATGACTATAGTATTATAACAAGGGCTGATCTATCTACCACACCTCTTCTTTTTCAATAAAAAAAGCACTCCTCTCAACTTTTTTTCCTTCCCCCTGCCTGCGCCCTTGCTGCGGCCTCTCCTCCATCACCACAAGCCGTTTCTGTAACGTGACAATTATGACAGGAGCAGCCCGCGGCAAAGTCAGCCCGCGCACGCCTCACCCAGAGAAGAGCTGAGGCCCAGACACTTGATTGACAGCGGCGGGGCCAGCACGTTTGCCTTATATGGGCGAAGAGGTGACAGGGAAAAGAGATGGATGAAAGCAGAGTGTAGAGGAGTGACGGACAGAGGCGGCAGGTTTGGTTTCAAAATCAACACCTGAGCATATATTATTGTAGCTGCCGCAGTTTGATGCTATTATAGTCAAAGAAATCATTGTAATTATCTGTAATTATTTCTTGTGTTTGAGTCATGTAAAAGGGTATGAAAGAGAGATTTTTCTTGGTCTGCCACTTCGGGCCTTAACTAGAACTTTGCCGGTGGTCTTTCAGATCCTCACAATGTTCCTCACAGTTAAACGGAAAGCTTAAAGTGGACATATCCTGTTTTCAAATAATAGATTTTTACATCTAAATCATTAATTTGTGGCCTATATAAAGCGTAACTGCAATGCCTGGGTCTGTGTCTCATTATTTGTAGCTCCACGTGCCTTTCTTCTACACCTGTTCTGAGGTGCGTCTGAGAGCAACCTGTTTTGGTGCTGTCTCTTTAAATGCAAATGAGGCGCTTTTGACCACCCCCCCATCCAGGTGACACAGGTTCAACTCCACCCCGATCAGCCATTTTTGTAGTTTCTAAGCACAGATACAATTATCTCACAGACACTTCTCATTACATCGCAAACATAAAGCAGTCCTTCCTCATTGACTGAAAGCTAATGTAAATTTTCATTCTTAGTCCAGTCTTATTATCGACTCTTTCTCTTTTTAGCTTTGGGGTCCATGTGCACAGTCTATGATGCTCACACGCCGGTTTGTTTACAACAGCGGCCGCCTGGCGCGGGCCTACGTTGCAGGATATGACACACTACGTTGACAGAAATGTTTAAATTGAATATTACTTATGCACAATTTAACAGCATTTAAAAAACGTTAAGAACGTTTTTCCTTCTACAGAAGGAAAGAGACGCATGTGCCTCCGGAGCCGCAGGTTGCCGACTCCTGGTTTATACAGTATGTGGAAGCAAATACTGTAGAGGATCAGGATATGTGCAGTTTCAACAATAAAATAAAATGCAATAGTCTACATTACAAGAGAGTAATAAACGTGTCTCAGAGTGGGGGAGGTGGACACAGACAACACTATTGTTTGTTACAGGGATGAGAATTAGAGTTTCGTTCGGGCCTGAAAAATCAAGCCCGACCCGGCCCGAGCCCGTATAAGCCCGACCAATTAAGGTTGTATAATAGGCCCGAGCCCGACAGAAGCCCGACACATCTGATTTCCCTTGTTGTGCGCACTCACCTTCCAATTGCAAGTTTAGCCACTTCTGAATGTGTTTTGTACGTCCACCTGATCAATTTCTGTTAATGTTCCGTGTGTTCGCTGTTGACCGTAGCATTCAACAGGAAAAACAGGGATGATGCATTCATGGCTTGCTGCGGCTGTAGGACACGCCGGTTACGGTGTTATAAATATATCAACTTTTTTAATAACTTCTGGTCAATCAACGGACATTATTATCTCATTGACTGCCATTGACGTGTTAACACGTCAAACTAAATAGTAACGTTGTCTGCCAATGACGTGTTAACACGTCAATTGCGTTTCCCGCTATTTTTACGTTCCCAGCTGTCCATTGAATCTAATATGTGGAGATTGGCTTGAGGCAATACTTTATGGAGCCAGCAGATGGCAGCATTGCGCTATGAATGGTTTGAACACAGCTAGATGCACTGTTTGTGGCCCTTTTTTCTCAGCTTTCTGGTGATTTCAATAAAACTTCCCTCTACTCAACTGGGGATTACAGAAGAACTAAACAAGATAGAAACAAAATTCTTTTTGCTGGTGAGAGTAGACAGCCCATTCTTTCAGAATCTAGTTTTAGATTTCAGATAGTCAAAGTACACAATATTCTGTGGGTCTTGAAAAATCAGTAAAAACCACCAGAAACGGCTGGCAATATGGGAGTACCTGTTTTGAAATGGGCTGGCAGTCAATGAGTTATTAATAAATACATATATGCATATAATTATGTATGAAAATCATAAATAATAAAAAATATTGATTAAAAAAAATAAAAAAAGTCAAAATAAAAAGGAGCCCGAACCCGGAGCGGCCCGACTGCTGAGCGCTGAAGTGAGGCCCGAGCTCGGGCTCGGGCTAAAAAGCGAAACGTCCCGTTCAAGTACATACAGCAGGTGCCCCGCGGATACGCGCGCCCCGCTCGAACAATTCTCAACGGATTTACACTTCTCATAAACATGTGTTTTGTATGAGGCAGACAGACCGGCCCAAATATGGGCATCGGCCCTTCGGGCATTGCCCGGTACGCCTGATGGCCAGTCCAGCCCTGTTCGCTGGCATCCTTGAGCTTGGACTACAAATTCGAAGTGATGGACAGTAGAGGGGGGCTGGGCCGAAGTGTTTAGTTAGACGCCCATGCCCTTATATAGCAGTCTCGCTGCAAATACTGTGACGTAATAATTCTAAATACGTAATAGAGAATGGCAAAATCAGAACGGGTTGAAATATCTTACCTAAACAGAATATGAAGTGTTCTCTGAAGAGACTGATTTCAACTTTTTTGCACTTCGAGGCTCCAACTTCGCAACATAAGGCATTTAAGGTACAAAAAGTGGATTTTTCATGATATGTCCCCTTTAAGTCTCTGGTTTACGGGATAAGGATACCTAAAGCTTTCATAGTGTTGAACAATCTGTGTTTTCAGGTCATTTGAGAGTTGTTTTGAGCATAGATCTATAATAATAACAGGATAGGGTGTTACTAGCTTATAGCTGTCCCACCTATGGGCATAGGGGGTGCCCGTGGAACCGCAGACTAAATTCATGTGGGCTTCCCAGAAAAATGTCCCATGTAAACTTAAAACAGCTCGACCTCAGCTGACGGAGAACCTACAGCTTTCAAAAAGGTCGTATTTTAGTGTCCCTTGTCATCCTGAACTTTTGTTCTTCTTAAATCCTTCGGTTTTCCTTAAATCCACACTCTACTGCCACAAACTCTGCTCGTTTGGCTCTCACTCTAAAGTCTAGTGTATAGTCGCGCGGCCCGGAGCTTACGGTGGTGACGTGATGTCACTTGCGCAATGCGTGGATCACCCCAAGACCCTTCAATTCAATAGGTATGTAATACTGTTTACTCAAGTGCAATATATACTTATACATATATATATGTATATATACTGTATGTATAATAAATCTAAGACTTTCTAATGCAAGAATGTAATAATAATATATATAATATACTATTTTTAAACTAATAACTATAAAAATTGCCTTTTATACAGTAGATGTCAGCTTATGTTTTTTTTCTAACTTCCAAACACAGTTGCTTGATAATAGGAACCTTTTTAACCACAGTCAGAGTCCAAGCCATGGGTTGATTAAAGGTTTATTTGGCCCAATCCATCCCATTTAACAGGACACACGCATACAGGCAGCATGTGCGCTACACCTCCCTTGTTGGCTTTCTTGTGTTTTGATCACCGAGATGTGGAAGCAGTATTCCTCTTGCGGTTTCATGCATTTGTCAGAAATTCTGCAGATGAAAATAGTCCGTTTACTGAGTGTGTGTGACTGAGCTCTTTAGCTGTGATTGATATTTGGTTTACAAAGTGTGTGTGTACTTTAGAGAATGAGCAGGAGGGATTTGCGAATCAGCTTTGTGGGCCCCTGCGCTTACTACCAAAACAGACAATTCTCTCATTCTTCTGAATGTCAAACTGAACATAGAATTCTAGAATCATTTGTTCAACAGATGTCATCAAAGACAACAAGTGCTTGTATTCTACATGGCTCTGGTGTGAAGAAAGAAGCGTGAGCGTGACATGCTACAAATGAACAAAAGTTTTGGTTTGGTGATTAAAAATCCAACTAATTCATCATGAAAAGAAACTTTGTTAGAGAAAACGGCTTACTTGTCACAATGCTCCAATGGGAAACGTATTACTCTAT